ACTACTGCATTAAATTTTATATCATCATCTGTAAAACGGTCTGAATTACAGATTTCTGTGTTCAATGGCACTTTGTGGTGGCAGCCATCTTGAATCCAAAGATCACTTTCTTAAAGGTTTGAATAAAATCTATTTAATGATTTATGAGAGATTTTGCTAACAATGCAAACAAGTTAAGTTGCAATCATACTCCCACAAAACCCAAATAATTTTATTTCCCAGACACTGCCTGGTCGGTCGTGGGAGTCGTCTATGTGCACATTATGACTTCTGCTAACTTCTGGTCAAAAGTAGTGAGGTCGAGAACTTCTAGGTAAATCTGCCATTCATGTAGGATTGTTTTGATAGGAAACAGTGGCAAAAATGAGAATGCTAAGTGTGCAGAGGAAGAGATTGTGCTATCAGCGAATGAGCGGATCATCGCTACACTGTTGTGTACCTCGATGTTCGTATTCTTCATGCTATAATTTAAAAGTTAGCTTTCATTGCTTCCCTGCTGATAATGTAGTCCGTCAGCAATGGCTATCTAAAATCTGGAGAGAAAACTTTAGTCCCAGAAGAGTCACATGGTGTATGTAGCCAACATTTCTTGCCTGAGGATCTGGTAGATACACTGAGGTGAAACAAGTGGTTAAAAGAGGGTGGTATTCCTGCTTTCTGTGTACCAAACACAGTAGAAAACAACAGCGATCACACTTATAGAAACCTCTTTAAAGATTGAACTGTGTTCAAGAAAAACAAAACAGCTAAAGAGAGGAACAAAACTGGCCTAACTGGCCTTGGCACTAACAATGTAAAATAGGGCTGAACAATACACTCACAAACAAAAAAAAAGCAATTAGAGACTAAACACGCACTTTGCATGCTAGCTGATGTTAAAGCTAGATATATGCTCCAACACAATCACTTTTATCATCAGCTAGAAACACTTCATACTTAAGCTAAACATCTGATCAACTGATCAACATTTCTTCTTGTTGTTTCACCCTACTCTTGAGTTCATGAGTCTTATCAGCAGGGTTCGACAAATCCTATTGCCTATTGTATCGAAAAAATATCGAACCGTGAGACTAAAGTATCGAACCGAACCGTGAATTTTCTGTGTTGTTGCACCCCTATAAAGTAGATACGAGCTAAAGCTAATTAGCCAAACGATAACTGGATGTATTTAATGCTTAACTTCATTGTTGTCAACGTAATTTGACACGTAAAATTTGAAGCCTTTTCTTTTTTACAACGTGGAGCTGATGATAAGGCTTGAAACTAGCGGAGAACATCGCTGATTGGAACTTTTGGGAGGTCCTGAAAGCTGTGAGTGTAAAACAACGCCGGTGCTCTCTGGCTGTGTCCAAAACAGCAGGCCGGGTCCTCCGAAGGCCGAATTTGTCGGCTGCATACGTCACAGCGCCGCGACAAAGGACGTCCAAAACTGAAGACTCCTCCGATGAGGCCGACAAATACGTCCTTCCTTTGGCCCGACTTGAAGGACTGGTCTGATGGATCCTTCCCAGCCCAGCACATCCCATAATGCTTTGCGGTCCGACTGGAGATTTTTTTATGTTAGTAATGGTGGACGAAGCGAGAGAAAAGAATACATTTTAAATAAAAATATGGTAATTTAAAATTTTTTAAAATTTTAGCGTTTGTAATTCTAATACTTTTATCATTTGTATGGACATGTTTTTAAATATTATTTTTGTCATAAAAAATACGCAAAATAAACATGAACCTACAGCGGGTCAATTAATTCTTCAAATGATACCTTTAAGTTAATTTTATAGTTTTGTGATATTAATAATACTAATGTATTGATATTTTTCTAATTTTGATTTAAGTTTGCTTGTTTAGCGTCATCATGGTTGCTAGGTGACAAGACGTACGCCAGGGTAAGGAGGGGAGGTTAGACCGTCCAAATTCACAGCCTCTTTTTTTCCGGTCTTCCCGGTCTACCAAGGACCCGGCCCACCTCGACCAGGTAGTCTGGGTCCTCCGGAGGACCCGGCCTGTCGTTTTGGACACAGCTTCTGTGGTGAACAACCAAACAGGAAGTACTGGTCCTCACAACTTCCAATTTGTGGAAGTCAAGTAGCCACATCATGCAATGAGCCAATAATGCTGCCAGATCGCTAGTCTGCATCATTTATGAGCAAAATACAACAATATCTGTTTGTCTTCATACCTACAACTTTCAGTCTTGATTAATGAAAATATTCTTGACAAATGTTTTTGCTTATGTCCCATCTTGCATTGACCCAAGAGTTTCAACTCTAGCAGAACAACATGAATGCTTCGACCGACCCTCTTAACCCACACTAGGGCTGCCATAAACGATTATTTTAATAATCGATTAATCACCGATTATTTATTCGATTAGTCAACTAATCGGATCATATGTTAATTGAATATAAAACATTGAGCTTATCACATCAGAATGCAGCTGCTATTGTATATCCATGGTTAGATTTTAGCTATATGCTAACTAAAAATAACTGCTGTGGAAGGTAAGTTCTGCTCTGCAGATATTACACAGGTTTCTCTTTCATTTTCTTAAAATGATCCCACACTTTTGAGCTTCGTTGCTGGGTAGCCATGATACCAGAGCCTGTCTGTATAATGTCTTGTGACGTCCACGGCCTACCCCAGTTACCACTACTGTGCATGTGTGTCAAGGACAGAAAGGCAGATGTGGCAGTGGAAGGTGTCAAAGCAGTTTGGAGAGAAAAACAAAGTAAAGGACAAAAAAAAGAAAACGATTAATCGATTATTAAATTAGTCATCGATTAATCGTGGCAGCCCTAACCCACACACACAAACAAACACACACACATACACACACACACAAATTATTGCTCCGCCTTCAGTGGCGGGCGACAACAAAAGCTTCAACATTAAAAGGAAGACATTAAATCAACACCGCAAAACATTCTTCAGTGTTTGCACAAGAGCCCGAGTTTCTGAGACAATCGATGCTGAATAATAAAGGGATTAACCATGACGACAACATGATTCAGTGGTGCTATAAACTGCCACAGTTAAAACCTCTGGAGGCACGGACAGGAAATCAGAGCACTAGTTGTGCTTTGTAGCCATGCTATTGAAAGATCTCTGATCTTGTGTGACACGAAGCTTGGTAGTAGGGAGGTGGCCTGTTACTGGTGGCTAAGTCAGCATTTTACAGGACATTGTGTGTGTGTGTGTGTCAGCCTTAGGAGGAGCTACGTTCATAGAGCTAGTGCCAGAGGAAGAAATGTGCAGCAACCATCAGGTAGAACTAAAAACAGGTATAAAATGTAGTTAATATGATTCTGAATAGACCAGCTCACCACTAAAAGTAATTTATTTTACATCCAACTAACTTGCCAGCGACAGAAAGCGCCACAGAGCTTATCTATTGCTGATTAGTGCTTGGCAGATGATGTCATGAGAAAGGCTACAGAAGGGGCACAAGGACAGACAAACAGATGGCAGGACAGGTTCAGACTGTGAGAAAAATTATATTAACAGTGCAGTTTGTAGAAGCAGTACTCCACTGGGCTGTGAGTATTTGGTAAAACTCCAGAATGTCTTACAACTTTCACTGGGTTCTCAACTTCCTTGTGCGAGTTGCAAAGGTGCGCAGCCATTGCCTGAAACCTGAACATGTTAAAATTGTCACAGAGCCATCCCGCACATATTCATCTCAAGCTCATCTTGTGTCATGGCCGTCTCCAACCTGTTTCGATAGCACTACAGCTCTATTTTGACACATACAGAAAGTGTCCTCTTAGATGCTTACAAGCTGTGTGCACAAAAATATGTGGTTTTCAAAATACAGCCATACCACTGCTGGTCACTTGGTTACAAACACTTGTAATTTACTGAGACTGCAATGAAATGTTTTTTTATGCAATTCTGAGTCACCAACTAGTCTCCAGCGATAGCAGCTGAGGTACTGCCTCAAGGTTTTGAATGCAGAAACATGGGGCCTTAAAGTTTGCACACACAAACATCTATGAAGGGTCACAGCTGCATGGGGAGAAGATGAAGGTAAGGCAAGTGAGGTGCACATGATTAGCAAAGCAGAAGAGTTTCTAGGCTGCAAATGCAGAAAGAGAAAAAGGCTGCAGTAAAGACTGATTTGACATCCCATCTACTGCCTTAACAGTAATAATAAAAACTGATTTACCCACAAATTAAAACCAACCTACAAGTATAATTTACCATTAGCTGGCATGACTTCAAATGCTCTTTAAAACTGTTTTTCCCTCTTTTTGTCTTCTCTCTTATATTTATTATTTTCCTTTTTAAACTAATTTGTCGAATTAGTGAAAATAACAAAAAGACTTTCAGCCTTTTTTTTTTTTACCTTACATTAATGACTGGAGATTTCTGTCAGATTCAGTCAAAGCAGCTGGCAGCTGAATCAGCTTGGCATTAACTTCTGTCTCTCAGCTAAAGTTAGCTGGAGCTGCTAGCGTTAGCGGCTAAGCTATCTGTTGAGTACGCAATCTACAGAAGCCACAAGCAAACGCTTCCGGCTATTTATTTATTTATTTATTTAAACATTCACGTAAACATGTAAGTTAGTATTTTAAGCATGATGCGCTAAAAGCGGTCTTCAAATTGCAGCCTGAATGCTAAGCTAAGCTAATGGTTAAAGTGGTCTGTGACGGTCCAGAAAACCAAAACAGACTTGTCTGTCCGGATCCCAAAGGAAGCATAAATCTGACATCTAACATTTCCACTGCAGTGAATAAAATGATTGTCCTGGTATTAAACACAAGCTGCTCCAAGAGTTACATTAACGCTGAGCAGCTGTTAGCTGATAACACGCCTATTTTTTTTTTCCACTGTTTATTTGGGGCCTAACGAACACTCAGCGGCCCCGGCCGTTTTCCTGCGCTGCGGACCCGCTGACAGTGACAGCAGCTTCGGCCTCGCTAGCCCAACATGTCGCCTCTCCGATGTATTGTTCCAGTACAATTGTCTATTTTTATTTGTTTCTCYCCCTCCCTCCCTACCTGGCGCACTGCAGTCGGCGCAGACTTCTGTCCTTTGGAGCTTTCTTGACATCTCGAAAGTGGCTGAAACCGAGTATGGGTCTGCGCCCGATGGGAATATTCGCCCGTCTTCCCTCGAGCCAAAGACGGTCGTCTGCCGTCAACCGAAGCGGCCSCTGAATCCCCGGAAGCCGGGTGGCGTGGTCAGCTTTCCCCGGCCAGCTGAGGGCTGACTTTCTTCCTCGAATAAGTCTCCTCGTCCGGGTTTCACATCAGAGCGCTTCGTTTATAGCCGAAATGCGGCGAAACGCAATTAATGTCGGAGCGCTGCTGTTAAATCTGGCGCTTGCATTGGCTCCAGTTCACCGAGAGACGGCAGCTCTCTGCAGGTCATCGCCGCAGACACACACCCAGCATCAGCCCTGAAACCCACCTACAGGCGGGGGTCTGTCCTAAAGATAGATGGATTTCACATTGAGCACACTACTTATTTCATTTRTAATAAAAAAAAAACATTATTACTGCATTCAATAGACAAAAACACACAGAGACCAGTGCTGTAGTCTAATTATAGTTTTCCATTTCCCCTGCATCTCCAGCTGATAACGTTTTTGCTTCTCTCATAAATCATAGAATATGTTTTACATGCAAAGAGTAACTAATCAATGTGCACCATAGTCAACTTTTGATCAGCATGATTTATAAAAAAGTCTGCTTTAACTCAGTTGGCCTGTATTGACCTAAATTTTGATGTGATAGTAGCTAAGACTGATCTGCAAAAGACAGCACAAGATTTCTGTTGTCATTAATGGGGTCAACTCTATCTGTCTGTTAGTAAAATATCTCAACAGACACATTTTGGTGAAATTCATCGACCATTGTCCTCCAGAGTTAACCCARTTCAAGACAATCAGCACAACCAATTGATCTTTTAAGTCCTAAGTGACTATATTTCATTTAATTTGACAGATACTGTGCCTGAATGTTGGTGTGGTTGAAGTGCTACTCATTGTGCAATATGTTTGCTTAAAACCATCTCATTCTTTGGCCACGTATCGCAGTCGGTTTGCAGAGGCAACAGGTCAAGTAGAGAAACCAGACTCTTGAGCAGGGGTGGGCAATCCTGGTCCTCGAGGGCCACAGCCCTACATGTTTTACGTTTTTCCTGGCTCCAACACACCTGATTCAGACATTGATTTACCTTCTAAGTTCTGCAGTATGGAGGACCAACACTGACATAA